ATGACTAATAAAGTAAATTACAGAAAGTAATTACTTTTTTCTTTAATCCTGAATCATATCACAAGTCAATAAAATAATGAATAAAGAATTTTTCTCGGTTTTGTTTAGATTAAAATCAAAACTTTTTAGTATATTTTGATAAAAGTTGATAGAATGTGTGGTAAAAATTAGGTATTAATTTTGACTCAAATTTTAATCAATTTTTTTAGTGATACAAACATGGACTTAACTTCTTTTTCTTTCAAAATATTATTTAGGGGAATAATATTCACACCACGATTTTTATTTATTGCACCACCTTTTAATTATACTTAAGATTATTAATCTTTATTTATTATAACACTTATGTTGCTAACAATTTTTTATATCATTATTATCCTCAAAATTTTCATTAGTTAACATATTTTCTATTCGATAACAGTTTATGTTCAAAATTTTATTGAAATGACGTAGAACAACTTATATTTCCATTATATTTCTAAAAAATAAATAACTAAAAAGTGCAAAAAAATGTTTTTTCTTCATTTCTAAGCATGAAAATAAAATATTTTGATATAAATCATCATCAAAGACGATACATATTAATTAATTAATTGAAGGTAGAAAATGAGAATTCGAAGGAAATAATTAATTAACTGAGCAAGGATTGAGAAATTTAACTGAAATTAAAATATGATGTATCAAATAAAAATTGTGGTGACAATATAACCACTCTATTATTTAAACTCATTTTAATTCATTTTACCAAACAAACCCTATTATTTGTTTGACAAAGTTTTTAAACTAGCCATTTTGAGGTAGCCAATGAAAACTTTAATTTTTTATCAATTATAAAGTACACTTTATAAATTAATCTATATTCGTCTCTCATCCTTTTAAAACCGTTTTTTCTATGAATTAATTTTTAATCGCGCATTCACACAATAAAATATTTTATATGTGAATTCAAAATTTTTTCATATTTTTTAACTATATATTCTTCAAAATTCATTATTCAAAACAATGTTTAAAAAAAAAATGACCACAAAAAATAGAGCTAAACGCCAACTTCTTTTTCTCTGTCACCTCAACCTTCTTTCAGCAACTCATATCGTACTGGACCTATTCCTTCTTTCCTACTACACCAATCCCATTATCTACTTTTGTATGTATCTCATTAGCCTGTTTGGTGAACATTAAAATGAAAGAATACATTTTTTTTTGAAGTGATGTGATGGAGAATATGTGGTTGAAAAAGAAGGAAACGTTNAGAAAAGTTATTGATGTGATAGAAAATATTATTTTATTGAAAAATGTGTGGTTGAAAATGAGTAGAAGAATGAGAATGAAAAAAATAATGTGACTCAAACATGGGCTTATTTTTGTAAGAAAATCGAGACACGTGAAACTAAAATAACATGATTTTCTAAAAATAATTTTTTACTACAAACCACGATTCTTATTTATATTTATATCTTTTTTGTCCCCACTATACAATGAAACGAAGAGGTGCGAAATAATTGCATCTTCCAAAGGAGTGGTAGTTCAATGGATTTTGCACGAGACACAGCAAAGAGAATCCGATATTCTATTCTATTGGATATACGCCCACGTCTCTTAGTCAGAAAATCAGCAACGTGGCCTTCTTTGATACGTTCAATATTATAAATTATTATTTAGTACAATTATTAAATAGTTTCACACTTTTTCGTGTTCAACATATTAATATTTTCGTTGGGACTCACGAGTCAAAATTCGTGGTTTGAACATGGCTCCGGTAAAAAATGGCTTGAACCGAGCAAAAATTTGATTGAAAATTTTTGGTTCGAACCTTATCGAGCCGAGAAGTCTCTATATTTTTTTCCCGATTTGTGTTACGCAGCTGTGCTGCCGTTTCAAAGGCAACACCCACGGCCTATATTATAGGTAGTTGTGCTGAATTTATAGTTGCTTGTTTCATGCAGCACACTGTAACATGGGCAAGAGTCGGCACGAGCTCATGCCAATGCTCAAAAATGAGGCTCGGCAGGAGCCGCGAGACAAGCAACGAGCAATTAGATCGA